ACAGCATTAATTAGTGTTTAGAAGCTGCTGAAATCCAAACTTAATTTCTACTACCTGGTTATCGAAAAATGTCTGATGTAGTAGGGAATTTTTTTTATTTGCTTAATTTGCTCCATTACTTTCCATGATGACTCTCTATCAAGAGTCCCCCAGGCTTACCCATCCAACATACGTGTTTCACTAACAGAACGACTGTGGCCTCCAAACTGAAGTGTGACATGCTTTGTCACAATCCCATCAGCTGATTCTGAGAGCCAGACACTAGTCCTAAGGAGTTACATATGCTCGGAGGGAACAACATGGAATGATAAGTTAGCAAACACAGAGAGCCATATTCAAGTTCTGGTGGACTATCTCCAAACACTGTGAAGTTAGTCTTAGCTCCTGAGTTTCTCAAAGAGCTGATTTTTATTTTTGTTTTTCCTTCTAGATTTAAGATTGTGATAATCTCTGTAACTCCAATTTTCTCTCCGTGTTTATTTTTCTGTTGGCACACTTTTGTCATACCCACTACTGCGTGAAACCTGCCCAGGATCTGAAGACAAATATAACATATCAAAAAAGATTATGAAAAAAGGTTCCATATCTCTCCTCTGTTTGTGTCAGTCTAAAGTACTTGAAAGTAAATGGACAGGGCAATCAACTGTTAGGCAATATGTATTTCTTAGGAAAGGTAATGTGGCAGAACCCAGGGCTTCCAAACAGGGAACACATAATCCCATATCTCAGCATTGTGTTTAATGAGGGCAGTTCCAATTCTTCTCTACCTGTTAAGGCAAAACCAGACATGTTATAAAATCTCTTTGGAGACCCAGCAGTCCACAACTTTTCAGAGTACTTTTTGATTTTCTCCTTTTTGTTGGTCTGTCACTTCCTTCTTAATAAGAAGAGTATGTGTCCCTATGCAGAGCAACAAATCTGAAAAGAACAAACCTAGTAAATGCTGAAACAATGAGAAGCAACAGAATTCAATCAAACAGATTGGAAAGATCAAGGCTTTGCTAAGCGAAAAGCCTTGAGTATAGCCAGCATGACATAAATATTTATCATTTAGAAAATTATGTCATACAGCTTATCCATGTTTATGTTCTGTATTAGGACTTCAGACACATATTAGAAATTAGTAGAAACAATTTAAAATCCGAATGATAAGTGATAGATTCATTTTTTTAGAATCTATTATGCAATGATTCATGACGACATGTGTCAGGCAATCTCGCTCCCATGTCAGGATCCTCCTGCTTCAGTTACCTGTCATCATCTATATCATGAGTCCCTGTAGAAACCGTATCTGCATGCAGGAATTTCTTGCACCTGCTTCCACAACTTCCCTGTGAGGGTCTAATGGAGTGTGGCATTCCCACGCTCGCTCATGGTTTCACTGAGCAACTCCTGATGAGCAGAGACGTGCAAGGACAATGAGCAACTTGAGGACCGCTTCAGGAAAGCCTCTACCTTACCCCATGCTTGGTTAAAAGACCCAGCAAATAGCAATCAGGGAATTCACAAATGAGATGCTCAGATTTTCTCTGTACTTTCATGAACTGACGTTTGATTAAAAAGTTCTCTGTCAGGGCCCAGCATGGTAGCCTAGCAGCTCAAGTCTTCACCATGCACATGCCTGGATCCAAAATGGATGCCAGTTCTAATCCTGGTAGTCCCACTTCCTATCCAGTTCCCTGCTTGTGGCCTAGGAAATAGGTCAAGGATGGGTCAAAGCCTGGGAACCCTGCACCCACATGGGAGACCTGGAAGAGGCTGCTGGCTCCTGGCTTCAAATCTGTGCAGCTCCGGCTGTTGTGATCACTTGGGGAGTGAAACAACAGACAGAATATGTTCCTCTCTGTCTCTCCTCCTCTCTGTATATCACTTTCTAATAAAAATCTAAAAAAAATATCTTTAGAAAGAAAAAGAAGTTCTCTGTCAGAAGATGTGAAAGTTTCATTCACACTGCAAGACGTGTTAGGTGAACACGAGGGAGGCTGACTTGCAGGGCTGTGGTTGTCAGGCTGGCATTCAAGATGAAGCTGGGCATTGCTCTGAAGACATGAAAGGGTATATCATTGTTATTATTGAAGATCAATGTCAAGAAGCCATTGTAAGAAGGACAGATGTGCATATACAAAATAAAATGAGTTTGCTGTCATCATTGCTTTTCTTCCTTAGGAAGACAATGTGATCAGTTCAGAGGCAAAGAACAGAGTAAAAGTTATTATGTACAATGATACGATAGTGATCTATTTTACTTTCATTTTCTCTGTCTCTTTTATCTTTTCAAAATACACTTAGACAGTTAATGCCTTCATGTGAGAAATGAATAAAATCCCAGGCTCAAATAAACTCTTTCACAGTTGCAAACTCTACATGACAACACAGGTTCTTGGAACTATGTGCTCCAGATCCTAGGGCACTGTGGATTTAGCCTTAAAACATTTGCTTCAATTGTACATTAACAGAAGATGGGGGAATACACCATAGTTCATTTTTCATTAGGCATGCATATTGCAGAGTGTGTTGTTTATATATTTTATGTAAATTTTTGTTTTCATTTCAATTGAGGCAATGGGCCCGGCATGATAGCCTAGTGGCTAAAGTCCTCACATTGCATGCTCTAGCATCCCATCTGAGTACCAAGTCCATGCCCCAGTGTCTCCATTTCCCTTCCAGCTCCCTTCTTGTAGCCTGGGGAGCACTCAAGGATGCCCCAAAGCCTTGGGACCCTGAACTAGTGTTGGAAACGCAAAAGAAACTCCAGGCTCTTGGCTTCAGATTGGCTCAGCTCCAGTCGTTGTGACCATTTGTGGAGTGAATCAACAGGCAATATCTTCCTCTCTGAATATTTGATTTCCCAATAAAAATAAAATAAGTCTTTAAAAATAAAAATAAATAAATAAATAAATTGGGGCAAATAGGATACACTCAACTGAAACAGTCTTATAAGCATTGTCCCATAGCACTTGTTAATATATTAGATAATAATTTAAAAATCATAAAAATATGTAATGTTATTTATAAGATATAGATGGCCACATAAAATTTAAATGTAGAAGAATTAGACTGGTCTATACAATCCACAGAATTTACAATTTAATAAAGATTTTATTTTAATTAAATTAAAACTATATATGTATCACCTAAAATAATAATAGCATAATATTCTAATGTACTATAAACATGCTTTAACAAGTTATAAACCACAAAAGCTAAAAACATAAAATATATGTTGGACTATCAAGGCTTAGACATATTGGAGGTTTGATTTAATAAATTCCAAAGCTTGCATCCCTTCCCACAGCATTCCAAGAAATGTAATTTCAGTGTATTCACTTGTGCGTTTATTATGCCATTATTCACTTTATATCCATTTTTATGCAAATACACTTCTGTGATGCCCTCTTGTTGGGCCTTTATACTGTTTCACACACACTGTGCTTCGGTTATACTTTCTGAATTAAATTATCGTTACTGCTTTTACTTTTTTCTGTCATGGTATCATCACAATTTCAAACACATCCATTCACTCTTAGTATTTATCTGCTTTCTTAAAACAAAGAATACTCTTAAGCCAAGGTAAGTACGACGTCGGATTATGGGTGAACAGACCTGCTGGCAAGGTGGTGGCTGAGAGGATCCAGGCCAGGTCTGGCTCAGTGCTTGGGGCCCACCCCAAGTCACCATTGAAAGCAGTGGGAAGATCCTGGGTTGTCTAGGCTTGAGAGATTTCTCCCTACACAGTATTTACACTGTGAAGAAGTCTCGATCAGTTCTGGTCCCTAACTCTGCTCACCACTGCCATCTTGGTGGGGGCGAGGAGCCCAGGTTAAGTTTGACCTCAAGGGTTGGGTGAACAGAACTCCCAGCAGCATGGGGACAGCTGGGAGGACCCAGGCCTGGTTGGGATAAATGTTAGAGGCCTGAGCCCCAGCCTTACTGCCAAGTGGTGGGAGAATCCTCGGCTTGCGGGCAACAAGCTCTGGGGTTTGGAGGATCTGGAATTATTGCTTATGGACATCCATGGATAAAGCCACTGTACATGTAGGTGAGGAATGACTCCTTAGGGACTCCAAATGACAGGGCTGCTGTATTTGTAGATAAGCAAGGGAGCTGAGACCTGGTGGTTTGGAAGGGAAATACCAAAAGATTTATATGAGTCAGATTGATGCACCAACCCACGGGCCAGTCCTAAGTAGGGTTTGTTAGCATGGAACATTGTTGACCAACACACACAAGTCCATACAAAAGGTTTGGCTAGGATCCTGGCTAGCAAGGCTAGATCCCAGCACCTTACTGAATGTTGGAACAGGGGATGACTCACATTAGGTAGGACCATGACACTAACCAGCACGAGAGAGAACCATGCCCAGGGGGTAGATTCTGCAGGAGATATATGGATCGTACCCTATGGAAGTACAAGTCCTGCTGCTTAGTTCAAGAGGTGGACTAAATAGGGTTGGCCCATGGACCAACCGATGAGCGTTAGTTCTGGCAATGAGAGTGTTTCTGATGGAGGAGCTTGGAGAGCTCCTCTGATGGGACAGTGTCCCTGCAGGTGAGAACCACAATAGGGATCATCCCAGACTATGCTATATAATGATATCCACCAGCATACATTTGACACAGGTCAGGGACGAACCAGGCAGGGCCAGTTCATACCACCCGTTGTTGAACCCAAGCACCAGAATGGAGTGTGGGTCGAACTGGGTTTGTTCGCAATGCTTACCAGCACGCTTGATGGCTGAGACTGGGTGCCAGCTGGGCTGGGTTAGGCTGTAGCTCCCACCAATGTGAACTGGGGGTGGGCCAGCTCCGGCCAGGCAACAGCACCCCTGGCAAATGCCAAGGTAAGGCAATCCATGCCAGACTGGGCCCCAGGACACAACCAGCACATGTGGGACCAAGGAGGATGGGGACAAAACCATTAGTTGGGCTGCATGGGGCTTTCCTGCTGGACCACCACTCCAACTGGTGAGCATGAGAGTTGGGATGGGAGCAGACCTCACCAGGCAAAGCTACACCACCTGTTGGCCTCATGTGAGCTGGATCAGGGGAAATCTAGGCTTGGCTGACTATTCCTACTGCAAGCATAAGGCAAAGTAGGTATGGATTGTTTGGTCTTTGCCACGGCATCAGGTAGCAAATACTGGCACAGGTAGCAAATTCTGTCAAGTTAAACTGGACAGTGTAAAATTCAGGAATGAGAGTGAGTCCAGTAGAGAAACAATGGGTTTCTCCCTCTTGGGTTGCCACTCTGAGTGGTGTGCATGAGAACCAGGACCAGAGCAGGTACGACTAGACCGGGAGTAGCACCCAGTGGTACATGTGTGGACTGGATAGTGGGGGTGGCTAGGCTGGACTAGAATTCAATGCCCATTGATATGTATGAGAGCTGAATGGGTTGTTAAAAAAACTGGTCCAGTCTGCTGTATATACTGACAAGCATAGGGACCAGGGTAGGGAGTGGGCCTGGTGGGTGTTATTGTGGGTCGCTCCAACTAGGCTGCAGCTCCCATTGATTTGTGTGAGGGCTGACTGTACAGTGGGCAAGATTGGACTTGTATGCAACACTCATCTGTTTGTGTGGATGACATGGCTGGAGGTGGAACTGACCGAGCAATTGCAACTACCAACATGTGTATAAGCTGATTGAGGTGACAGTTTATGTGGGATCCTGTATTGGCAAACACACATAAGGATCAGTTCTGGGACCAGTGCAGATGAAGTTTCTCTGGGGAACCCCAACCATGGAGAATATTGCAGGTTCCAAGGTTTGACCATGGAACTCATGAGTCAGAGCTGGGCCACCTCAGTGGCTTAGATGGAACAGTGGACAACATAACCAGATGTACATGAAGGATATAGCAGTACATCAGAGCCTGCAGAGGACACCTGCTACTACAACAGAAGATGTAGGGCAGAGCAAATTGATCATCTACAAAGACAAATATTGGCACTGAACACCTGGGCAAATGGAGACCCTAATGTGGACTATGTCAGCCAGTTGATTCTGGGGAGATTTCATCATGGTTGGAGTGGCGAGATTGCCAGTAATTCAGAATTGTTTAGATATCAAAACCTCTTGAGCAGAACCCTTAAAGCTCACCCCACACCAGCGACAAGGGGAGGTATTAGGTGCCTGTCCTCTATCCCAGGGTGCAAGGACTTTTGGGAGGCTTCTCCCCTTATCTCCTCCCTTCCTCCAGAAACTGCAAGGGGAAAAAAAAGAAAAGAAGTAAAGGGCACACTCACCTTCCTGTAGCCCTTGACCTTATCACCCTAACCAACTATGTAAAAAAATCATCAAAATAAAAATACTTATAAAAAAGAGTACTTTTATGACAAAATTTCTAGAATTCCCTGCCATTTTTTTCTTACCACAGAAAAACTACTGTATTTTTTTCTCATTTTCTCTGACTTCAATTATTATTCTTCAAGCATAAAACTTTAAAACCACCCATCTCCTTCTCTTGCTGAGGATAAATATTAGAAGCAAAAGTAAAACTTGCTTTAGTATACTCCAAAGTTTAACTGGAAAAGTTCTGATCATAGGTGAAAGCAAAGTCAACAATAGCATAATCCTCATTTGGTCACTAGGAGGCAAATCATTGAAGAAACTTGGAGCCATTGAATTGGTCTTCCCTCCGCATTCCATCCAGAGCTTAAAAGAAAACTGATGTGCCAGTGCTGTTAATTTAAACTGATGACTTCATGACCTCATTATTGGAGAAAAACTTCTTCAAATATGGTATATAAGAAATTTTTCTCTCCTCGAGTTGAAAAGGAAGAAAAGAAATAGAAAAAAGTGCTCCCAGTGCTTCCTTGGAGGAGGAAAAAAACTAAACCAACTGTATTTTGATATGGATGAGGATTTCATTAATTTCTCTAAAGTAAAGAGAGGGATTTTTCAAGGGCACACCTATAGTTCTTTAATTAAGAGACAAACTTTTGGCAAAGAATGTAAGTCCTTGCTTTTTGGGTTAATGTGAACAGTGAATTTCTGAACACAGGAATTCATTTTTCCAAGGAAAATGGACACTTATATTTTATAAAGATTTATTTTTATTATTTTTTCATTGGAAAGGCGGATATACAGAGAGGAGAGACAGAGAGGAAGATCTTCCATCCGATGATTCACTCCCCAAGTGAGCGCAACGGGCCGATACTATGCCGATCCGAAGCCAGGAGCCTCTTCAGGGTCTCCCACGCGGGTGCAGGTTCCCAAAGCTTTGGGCCGTCCTTGACTGCTTTCCCAGGCCACAGGCAGGGAGCTGGAAGGGAAGTGGGGCTGCCGGGATTAGAACCGGCGCCCATATGGGATCCCGGGCGTGCAAGGCGAGGACCTTTAACCACTTGCGCCACCGCGCCGGGCCCGGACACTTATATTTTAAAAGTACTCACATTTTAAAGAAATATAAAAAATTAATGCATCAATAATACAAGCTTAAAAAAATGCAGTTTCCAGGCCTGGCACAGTGGCCTAGTGGCTAAAACATTCCACTTGCACACACCCGGATCCCATATGGGTGCTGGTTCATGTCCTGGAAGCTCAGCTTCCCATCCAGCTCCCTGCTGGTGGCCTGGAAAAGCAGTGGAGGACAGCCCAAAGCCTTGAGACCATATACCCACATGGGAGACCCAGAAGAGGCTCCTGGATCCTGGCTGCAGATGGGCTCAGCTCCAGCCATGTGGCCACTTGTGGAGTGTTTTTGTATCTCCTTCAGCCTTTTTATCCAACTGTGAAAAATCTGGCCAATTTAATCAAAATCAGAGGGGGGACTTGTTGCTGAACGATACCCCAAACTGGAACCATTGTTGCAGAAACTCCACACTGTGTCCACTCACCTGATGTACAGAATCCATTCAATAACTTTGGGGTGATGGAAGAAAGTATTTATTGCAAAGCATAAACCAAGGATTCAGGTGTCTATTGCTTTATTCTGCCAAAACCTGGAATTCCAATCAAATTACTCCAGGATAGTACTGGCCATTGAGGTTCTAATGTATTAGAGAAGCAAATTTTTCTGAGTCAAGTGACTAGAAGCCTGCAGGGCCATGGATCACACCCTCAAGTCAGTGAATTCCTTTTGATTCAGAACAGGACACCTGGGAATAAGGAAAAGGGCATGTTTCTGGGTAGTGCTTTTATAATATAGGAATTTTATTTCATAATAATCATCCTTTTTTTTAATTTCCTGCAAGATCTGAGCTGACCCAGCCTCTCCCCATCCTAGGAGTCAATTTTAAGTATAGACTAGTGCCTCATTCACCATCCATGTGAACTCCCATAACGTAAAAGCTTGAACCAAACCTCAGGTCTGTCTCCCTTAGCACAAGCGTTCTTGTCTGTCATTTATCAAAAGGAATCCATCCCCTTGAAGGTCCGATTCAGCTGAGCTTACAAGCTTCTAAGAGCACAGTATCACTGATCGACCAAAAGATGGTCACTGACTCTAACGGTCAACCAGGAACTTGGGCAAAATCTGATCACGCACTTCTCAGTCCCGATTTCAAGCTACAGAAATCTGTACTCCTAATTACTCAAGGATTACAGGAGGAAAGCATTAGCTACACAGATCCCTGCTCTTTACCATAACACCTAATTTTTTTCAGTGCCTCAAATTCAGTGTTTGACTTTCGGCAAATGGGGTGAATGGACCCAGTTTGGAGTTTGTGCAACAATGTCTCCAACCAGTTTGGCTTGCTGTTTGGCAACCATGTCTTATATTATTCCCATTCGGGTCTTATCAAGACACTGTTTTTCAATCAACAGTCCCACAAAATGTCTTTTACTCATCAGTTCCTTCTGATACACTACAGTAAGTAATCATTCTTTTTACATTCTTGAGGTAGTCCTTAAAGTCCCACACATGCTATGTGTCAGGGACTTTACTAAGGAGGAAAGAAACAGACATAACCCTGCAATTTTTGATTTTACAGTCTAACAGATATGATAGCCATAGGAATTAATGAGGACACTGACTTTTATAAAAGGAAAGTGCATCAAACCATGTTAACATCTGATTTTATTTTATATACTTTCCATATTTTCACCATCACCTATTTCCCTGGAATATACATCCCTTTGCAGTTTGGCCTACTGAAATACTTAATATTCACTAAGCACATTTTTTTTCATAACTGGATATTAAGTCTTTATTTTGATCAACGGTTATAAGCATTCTTTAAAAATCAGGAAAGATGAGGGAGAGTTTAACTGCAATGTTCTTTGTGTGGTGTCTATATGATATTTGCATATTTTTATTATATTTATCACTTCACTTATTATTAAAAATAATAATCCCTTAAGGGTACTGGAATCAGAGAAAGAGAATTCTAATCTACAGGTGTACTTCCAAAAGTCCCAGGACAGGCAAGGCAGAGCCAACCAAAGCCATGACCCTAGAACCAAATTTGGGTCTCGCAAGTGAGTAGCAGACACCAGCTACTTGAAATATCACAGGTGCCTTGCGGGGGTACATTGGCATACAAATAGAAACAGAACTGGAGACAGAAATCAAACTCAGGAACTTCAAAGTGAATCATGGGTATCCCAACTTTGGTTTTAACTGTTGTCGAATATCTTTCTTGCTTTTATTTTATTTTTCATATGCCTGATTCCACTCAAGTTGCTGGTTTTATTGAGGGAAATATTTTATGATATTCTGATATCTAGAATGATGCTTTTCATTGTATTAATGACTTAGTAGTGTTCTGTATTAGACTTAATTATATTGATATATCACTTGTTTTTGTCCATAAGTGATCTCCAAGAGTATGCTAAGAGCAAGGGTTATAACTCATGCTCCCAAAGTCCTGCCAAGAGAAGTGGGTGCCTACCCTATTGTGCCTTTTCTTTAAGCCCTACTGAAATCCTTTTACCTTACCAAGCCCTGCTTTGCACAATGGCATTGATCATCCTTTCTATACTATGTTTTCCTGCTGCTTCTCAACTGGGCGTGCAGTATTTCTTAATTTTAGAAGTACAAAATTGAATATAATCATTGAAGAACATATGAAATTAAATAAAGTAACATGTGAAAGCATTAATTTATCTCCAGTACTTGATGAGTCATATGTAATTTAATATGTAAGTAATTTTAATTATTTTTAAAAACTGTGTTGGTGTCTATGTATACGTAATATAGTGTCATCACCAAAGTAAATCATTTTCAGAGTGAAAAATTAGACATCCACAGTGTTTCAAATTTTCTGGGGCATGTTTGAAATAGTGGCTTTGCGGGCCCGGCGCGGTGGCGCAAGTGGTTAAAGGTCCTCGCCTAGCACGCCCGGGATCCCATATGGGCGCCGGTTCTAATCCCGGCAGCCCCGCTTCCCTTCCAGCTCCCTGCCTGTGGCCCGGGAAAGCAGTCGAGGACGGCCCAAAGCTTTGGGAACCTGCACCCACGTGGGAGACCCGGAAGAGGCTCCTGGCTTCGGATTGGCATAGTATCGGCCCGTTGCGCTCACTTGGGGAGTGAATCATCGGATGGAAGATCTTCCTCTCTGTCTCTCCTCTCTGTATATCCGCCTTTCCAATGAGAAAATAATAAAAATAAATCTTTAAAAAAAAAATGAAATAGTGGCTTTGGCCTTTATTGCCATTTGGAGAGTGAACCAGCAGATGGAATATCTTTCTGTCTCTCCTTCTCTCTGTAAATCTGCCTTTTAATGAAAAGAAATCTTTTAAAACAAAAATGTTCATTCTCCAGATTAAAAGTTCAAGGTGATTCTAACAAAAATTCCAATCAATGTTGTCGTGGAATTTGTCAAGTTGATTCTAAAGTTCACATGCAAGAGGAAAGCACAAAAGTGTCATCTGAATAAGAGAAAAAAAAAAAAAACTTTAATGGCCAGAGAAGTCTTTGGTCACAGCATTAAGAAAATTAACAAAGGAGAACTCTGTGCCACAAGGAAATGTGCTAATGTAGAGTTTACATCTAAGCATATGGTCAAAATCAGTTTTAAATGGCAGAAGAGCTATCAGATTGGTGTCCGAGATTTCTTGGACATGAATTAGAAATTGCAATCCAATGCTTGAGGAACACAAATGCTTCTAGTAGGGCAAATTAGGGATCATCATTGGATTCAGTTCTCTTGTCTATATGTCTAACAGAAAGCCCATGGTTTGTGAAGAAGCAAAGGAGAAAGCTACTCTCAAGTTAAGCGCCTGTCCCTTCATTGCAAGTCTTAGACTCACCATGTGAGAAAGGTCAAATTGATAAACTATTAGTTGTTTAAATATCTCAGAGGAAAATGTATCATCATCTTGGCCTAACCAATCATTTCCCTCCACCAAGGTGTGGGAGTTGGAATCTGGGTGGCATGCCGCCCCAAAATAGTTTATCAAAATTAATATGAATATGCAATTTTAATGCAATTTCATAAAATTTTCATTCATAGTTAGGAATTTTCGCTTGCTTCTTAAATTGTTTCTCCCACTATCTTTTGTTAAAATTATGTGATTTATTTATTTTATTATTATTTCATTTTATGACACATTCTCATAGCCTCTGGGATTCTCCCAACCTCTCCAAAAAGCCCTTCCCCCGGACTGAATTCCTCCATATTGTTACAGTAGTACAGTTTATAACCAATCATGATTCCTTCATTGCGGGCATGGACCATGCAGAGAGCCCAGCATCATATTGTCGAGATAAATTCAACAGTTTCATTGGGAAACCATCCTTGGTCTGAAAGTAGAGCTGGCAGAATATCATCCCCTCCAATGAAAAGCCACTATGCAACTTCAACAACAGAAAGAAACATGGAAATTGATAACATCACGAAGTTAATTAACATGGTATTAGCTGACAAATGTGTTGGAAAACACAAGTTCTTAACCACATCCTGTAACCACTTCATTGGCATCTCAATTTTAGTTTGTACACAACTGGCTACTATAAACCTTAAAATGGTTATAGGGTACTATTCAGCTGTACCATGTCTATTTTTATTTTTGTGTTTAGCAGCTTATAGTATTCAAGCATGATTTTTACTGAACTTCGTGAATTTTAGGATAGTCCAAACAGGCTTTTAACTCTTACAAGCCATATGTTAACAACTGAGGGGCAGCACAGTTTTTTGTTTTTTTTTTAAGATTTATTTTTATTATTTTTTCATTGGAAAGGCAGATATACAGAGAAGAGAGACAGAGAGGAAGATCCTCCGTCCGATGATTCACTCCCCAAGTGAGCACAACGGGCCGATACTATGCTGATCCGAAGCCAGGAGCCTCTTCAGGGTCCCCCACGCGGGTGCAGGTTCCCAAAGCTTTGGGCCGTCCTTGACTGCTTTCCCAGGCCACAGGCAGGGAGCTGGATGGGAAGCGGGGCTGCCGGGATTAGAACCGGCGCCCATATGGGATCCCGGGCGTGCAAGGCGAGGACCTTTAACCACTTGCGCCACCGTGCCGGGCCCGGGGCAGCACAGTTTTAGGAGGGATGTGCAGAGAAATCTCTAATACCTAAGTGAGGAGAAACTGATCTTTGTGTCCTACCTACCAAGGTATATAAAATTATGTGATTTGTAATAAGCAATCATTTATTCCTTGGAAACTATAATTAGTCCTCACATCAATACCTCTCAGAGAATTTAATGAAACCATTTTCTTTCTGTTTATTAGTGCAAAATATAAAAAATTTACCTGAAAGATAGTGACATAGCATGGATGCTTTGAGTATGCATTGAGTAAGTTTATTTCATGAATGCGGATTTTAAGTGGAAATCCTATCAGAATAACAATTATATCCACTGGTGTCTTAGAGGAAATTGATTCAACTGAACTTTATTTGCAACAGAACTCCATTAGCTACAAGAAATTGAATTTCTTCAAGTTAGGTGCATTTCACAAGGCCTGTGTACAAAATTGTCTTATCAAAGAACTGCTAAAGAAAATCCTTGCAGACTGAAAAATCATTTGTTCATAGGCGGCATATTTTAAACAAGATTATATTGAACAGAAAACAATATTTCTATATAAAACACCTTATATATTTTTACATTTTCACTTTCAATGAAATTATATGTACATTTTTTCCAGGGTGAATAAATATTTGAATATGTGTATTTTGCCTTTATGTATATTGCTATTTTTTCTTGTTATTCCTAGAGAAAGGGGATAGACAAATGGGGAAACCACTCGTGACTTTACACACGTCCCAGTACCCAGGGATGAGGAACCACCCCTTATATCAACACAGAGTCTCAATGTAATAAGTACATTTTTTAAAAATATTTACTTATTTTTATTGGAAAGTCAGGTTTTTAGAGACAAATATCTTCCATTCACTCATTTACTCCCCAAGTAGCAGCAACAGCAGGAGCTGAGCCAAGCCTAAACCAAGAACCATGTGCTTCTAGTGGGTCTCTCACGTGAGTGCAGGGACCCAAAGCTTTGGACCATCCTCTACTGCTTTCTCAGACTACAAGGAGGGAGCTGGATGGGAAATTGAGCAGCTGGGACTTGAATTGGTTCCATTAATGAATCCTTGAATATGCAAGAAGAGAAATTTTCACCGAGACATCATGCCAAGCCCAGTATGTTTCACCCTCGAGTCCGCAAACAATCCATGAAAGTTCTGTTCTGGGTTTCAATGAATGTACTAATAGTCTCTTCAAAAGTATGTGCTTATATAAGTATGTATTTTGAACTTTTCTTAAGTTTATACATTGTTAAATTCTAGTTTTCCTGATTAGTTTATCATAAAATCTGACAGTGTTCTTCCTAAAAGTTATTGCAAGGCAACAATTACATCCTTTTCCCATGAAGTCGTTTACTTTCTACTTTAAAAGCTTTCAAATGAGATGTGATTTGTGTATTAATTGCATTGCACTTAGCAGAGTGAATCTTCTAAAAAGTCATCAATGTAATTTTTGTCCCCTGTATTCCATAGCCTGGTCCTCAATCATTTTTGAAATCTGACTTACGGAGTGGCACTACCATAGGAGTTAAGCTGCCTGTTGTAATGCCTGCTTCTCATATCTTAGTGCTTTGATTTCAGTCCACTTTTCCACTAATGTAAACTCTGGGAGGCAGCAAGTGATGATAGAAATTATTGGCCTCTCTCCAAGTTGTGGAAGACCTGAATTGATTTACCGGCGGTTGGATCTGACTGGCTGTGTCTTGGCTGTTGAGAGTGTTTGGAGAGTGAGCCAGAAGAGAACTTCATTGCTGTCTGCCTCTCTAGACTTTCTCTCTCTCTCTTTCTCTCTCTCTCTCTCTCAGTTTTATTCATTTTTATTGGAAAGTCTTATTTACATTGAGGACAGACAGACAGCAAAGATCCTCCATTTACTGATTCACGTCACAAGTGGCTGCATCAATAGAGGTTAGGAACTTCTTCCAGTTCTCCCACAGAGGTGCAGGGTCCCAAAGCCTTGAGATGTTCTCCACTGCTTTCCCAGCCCACAAGCAGGGAGCTGGAAGAGAAGTGCGGAAGCCGGGCTTAGAACCAGTGCTCATAGAGGATCCCAGTTGTTCATGCAAGGCAAGGACATTAGCTGCTGGGTGATTGCACCAGGTGCTGCCTCTATAGACTCTCTCTCCTCCTCACTCCATTTTCCTCCGTGTGTACGTTCCTCAAATAATGAAAACAAATCAAAATTTTAAAATAATCTGAATGCAAAAGTTTTTACCTTAAATTTTCTGTCAAATATTTATGTAATACATAATTTATTTGCTTTGATCATATTCCATGAGCTCATCACTACGTTTTCATCCATATCTGTGTGTATACAACTGATACATTATTGGTTACCACTGTACTTCTGTCAATTATTTTCTGAAATAAGTCTATCCTTTCCCCAGAAGAGGATGCAAAACTCTTAAGTGATACGCTTTCTGACCTTCCATTACATAAGTGCTGTGCATAAATTTGGTTGTTATATACAGAAGGCAAAATAGCAAAAGAGGGATGGTAGCAAAAATACTCATTTAACATACATATTCAAATGTATTTATAACAGAATACAAATACATTTTTGATAATAATTATATTAGCAGTTTGTGCATCCAAACACATTTTGATATGTATAAACACCTTGTTTTACTCTGCAGTGTGTGCTTCCTTTTGAAAGCCTCCAAGTTATCCTAAGATGATCTCAATTGCAGCAGATTTATGCGTCTCACAAAAGCTCGTCTTCCTCTGGAACTAAAACAGCAAGACCAAACAAGGATGGGTTGAGAACCATATGTAAAAGCTTTGGTAGGGAGTCAGCAGCGATAATAGTGAGCAGTGCTGTTGTCACTTCCACTGTGAAACAAGTGTCGTGGTTAAGGATCAGTGTGAGTCCAATGAGGCAGAACACACTCGTATGCCAACAATTACATGAAGGGGATTTATTATTTAAAACTAGGCTGCAACAGACAATGGAAGCCTAGGATTCTCTGTTAGCAAATGTCTCTTGGATCAGGAAAATTGCTCAGGGAAGGCAGGCCTGGACTGTGCATGTTTCATTTGCACTTCAGACAAAAGGTGCTGGAGCTCATCCGGAGTTCACACACTGGAATGTGTGAGTACCAAGAATTTATACACTATAAAGCACTGAGCAATCACTTTCTCTTGTGGAATGAAACAGATCATGGGTTATTCCAGCTGGCTCCCCCTCAGCTCAGAATGCAGATACTTTTAGGAAAGAAGGGTAGAATAGGAGGGGGAAATCTCTGTATTTACAACACGATTCCTTGAGGACATAATCCTGATAATAACAGATATTATCATCAAGTTATAATGATACAAAATTATATGAAAATGGTCATGTCTTTAAAGATTTAAATTGTGTTTCTATTTCTAAACATAATTATATAGATCAAACAAGCATGCAAACTAATTATATAATAAGTCTGTGATTCATTTGATTATGGGAAATTAACACAGTTTACTTCTACACTGTTATTTGAGTATCCACAGAAGTATTCAGCCTAGCAGTTAAACTGGCACGTAAAACACCCATGTCTCACCAAAAAGGTGCGTGCATTTGAACCCCGGTTCTGACTCCTGATTTATTTCCTGATAATGCATCGCCCTTAATGGCTGGGATAGAGGTTTGATCATTCAAATATTTGAAATCCTGTCATCATGGGAGACCTGATTTCCTTCTGGTCTTCGGTCGTCCGCACTTTCCCAGAACCCAGCACTGTAGGAATTTAGGGAATAAATCAGTGGATTTATTTTTTTTTTCTTTCTCTTTCTGTTTTTCTGTTTCATTCTGTCTGTTTTCAAGTAAACGCTTAGCTACATGTATATTTAAATTCACAATTTTAGAACAGAACAGTGCTATGATATATGATTCAAATGATTTATGATTGAGATTTATGTGCTCATATGTTAAGTCAGCTATAATTTTTAGTGTGAGGGACCTGATAGATCTTAGTTACATATTAGGTAGATTGTTTAGACTGTATAAAAGTGGAGGGCCACAATGAAAATTGGATTCAGCTATAAATGGAAATTTGTATTATAAACATAATATTTCTTTCTAAATTAGATAGATTCCAAGAAATATGGTAGTATTTATTCATGTGAAAATTTAGAATATATTATTAGAATATATTATTTTCCAAATTTTAGAAATGCAACCATGTATTAATCTTTCTAAATGTATTGTTTAAATCAAAGATACATGAAACCCCAACTAAAAAACAAGTGTGTTTTTAAAGGCAAAATCCACAGTCTGAGAACTATCTTTGGTATCAGAATGTAGTAACCACTAACTTCGCAAGCTTTTACTTCTGTAACCTTTATTGTTGAACCAAATGAAACTCAGTTTTCTCCTAGTCATGTCTGAACAGCCTAGCCAAGGGTTCGGACTTTGTTATCTAAAAAGATGCTGTTTTCTCAGTCACATGACAAACTCACCAATGTGGGGATGGGTAAGTGGGAGGTTCATCTAAGATGGAGCTCGACTTAGGAAGTGAACAGAGATGATTCCAGTACCATTCCAGTCAAGCACACACGCCCGCCCAAAAATATTTGGAATGTTGAGATCACCACTTAGAGAATGCTGTGTCCAAACTCAGCTCGAATAAGCTACAGAAGAGACCCACAAAAAAAGAGGAATGTAAGGAGTGATTCAGATTTTGGTCCTGAAAGTTGGTGAGACCTTCACCATTTTAGACCAGCCATTTCTTGAATCAGTTGTTACCCTAAGGCTTCAGCAACCTCAAGTTTCAGCGTCTGTTCCTTTAGGCTTTCAGTCTCCTTTAGTTTGGTTTTCCTTTTGGCTCTTTCGTTCCATGTCCAATGCTGTTCCCTGACGGGCCTATCCACCAATCCTTTGTGACCCTGTATCCTTGGCCCATTCCTACTGCTGTAACTGCCATGACCCTGTACTCCCTGTACCCACCCCACGCTATACAAGCACACTGGACTCCTTTCTCTCTCTCTGCTAGCTCTTCTGGCTCTCCTCACTCTCCCAGCCCTATGCTCTCTGCCCTGCCTGCTCTCAGCTCTCTCTGTTCTCATCCTTTGGCTCTCGCTGCTCCCTGCTCCTGCTCCTCAGTATGGCCATCTGCCTCTGTGTACATAGAGATTCTGGCTCCTTCATTCTCCCTTCCCTCAGTCTTCTGCCCTCCCTGCTCCTGTTCTTGGCTCTTGGCCCTCCCTCTCCTGCTGTCCTCCCTCAGACACCCCTCCTGTTACACTGGCAGGAAACCTCTCCTCTCTCTTCTCTCTGCTTTGCCTGCCTTCCCACAGTCCTCTCCCTCTGCTCTGTTATGTCTCACTCTTTCCTGTGGCCATCTATCCTGCTGAAATAAAGGCCTCCTGTGTAACTTACTGCATCTGGTGCTTGGGTTAGCAGCGTCTCTTCCTAACACAGCTCCTATGGAGTCTGTTCTGTAAAGCTTGTTATTTCAACCTCGCTATTTGAACATCATCGTTGATGCTTTCTGCCTCTGTGTTTATTACTGAGATCAGTCTTATTACTGTATGATTTACCAAACTTTTATGCCAGAGTAATTTTGTTTCATTTTATTTCTGTATAATTGATTTGGATGATTACTGTCTTTACAAAAAAAAAAAAGTTCATTTATTTATTTATTTAGAGACAGGAGGGTGAGACTGAGGAGAGTAATGTAAAATGCCAAAGAGAGAGAGTGAGAGTAATCTTTCATACAACAAGTGAAGTGAATAGGTTCGAAAGGGAACAACCTGGGAGGAAAGAAGATGGCCGACGTAGGAGGAAGGCTTTGAGGGAGCGTCCAGAGAAAGAGGGATACAAAGTTATAGAAGCAGCAAAGAGGAACAGCAGGGAATCACAGGGAGAGGTCCGTGAGGCTCCCTAGGACAGTGTGGAGCCAAAAAGATCCACACAACTCGGAAGAACAGCGAGAACGGAGCAGGGCAAAGGTAGAGAAACCGACATCCCACTCCAGACCTGCTGAGTCACTTTTGAAAACGGCCTGACGGGAGACGCGGACAGCCCAGAGGCGGGGAGATCGGGCGGATCGTCGCCGGCGGGAGGCGGAGGCAGACTGCAGCGGCCGGACGTTTGGTGAGCGGGGGGGTTGACGTGGCAGCCTCCGCATTCCTTGACCCCTACTGAGGTTCCAGCCTCTGAGAACGCGGGGCAGACAGACTGAAACTGTTGGGTTTGTGCCTTGGGAACTACGCACAGTGGTGTTGGTGGCTGAGGGGGCCCCAGGAAGGCGCCTCGGATGTTCCTACACTGAGGGGGCCAGTGCGTCTCAGTGCGCAGAGGCTGCTGGCGAGGATCTGGAGTCCTCCACATCCTGCCTGGTGGAAGTGCGAGAACATCAGGAAGACCCTGGTCGCTGCGCCGAGCGGACTAGGCGGCCCCGCCTGCAGCAGCCGCCTCCACAGCGCAGGTGTCAGGTGTCAGGTATCAGGTGTCAGGAGAGCTTTGAGATTTGGGAAGTGTAGCGCTGTGTGTCCCCGACACGCAGGTACCACTCCCATAGGGTGAACTGCTCACCCCTCGCCTCCCACCCCGCAGTTCTGAGCGTGGGCGACCCACCAGGAGAGCTCTGAATACTCCTGCACCACACTGACACGGTGTGAACCTGCCGTGAAATTATAACAGGGCGCCTGGGCCACTCCTCCGCTAAGGGCCGGTGTGAGAGAGCCACACAGGAGCAGGGGCTCTGAACACCCACACACCACAAGTGGTGGATTCACTGCACAAGAGCCACGCCTGGAAAGTGCCTCACCCACAGTCCCGTGTGTGGGAGACGCACCAGGTGGGCTCTGAAAAACTTTGCAGTCCCTGACACGGAGAACGCAGGGAGAAAGCACATAAAACCTTCTAAGTCCTGTGGATTCCCGTGCAGGGGGCACACCCAGAGAGCGCCTCCATCCCTCCACGCCCTGGGGTGTCACACCTGTAGAAGAGGTGCCCAGAGTGTGCCTGGAATCCACTGGGCCCCCAAGGTGGTGCTCTACAGCCCCGGGCCCTGAGAACGCACCAACGGTGCCTTGAAAATTACCACGCTCGGCAACACCACGCCTGCAGGCTCCAATCTCTACAGGAAAGCACCTGACAGCCCCTCAACACACGGGTTCATTTGCCCCACCAGAATTCACCAACGCAATGGGAAAAACCACTAGAAAGAGCTGTGCTCCAGATGAAAGAGCCAGCACCCCACCAAACATGGGCCAAAAGCCATTATCAATATCGGCGATGCGAGATGAAGACATGGAAGTGTTACCAGCAAAGGAATTGATGAAAATAATGCTAAAATCTCTCAGAGACATGGACACAAAGCTGGAAGACTACCAGAACCGCATAATCACCGAAATACAACAAATCAAAACCAAACTGGATGCCCAAGAGAATAAAATTGAAAGCCTCATCAACAGAATAAATGCGGCAGAGGAAAGGATCTCTGAAACAGAAGACACACAAAATGAAAGTGCCCAGCGAATTAAACAGCTGGAGACAAACCTCAGCAAAACTAATAAAATGATGCAAGAGATGAAGGATTACCTTAGAAAACTGAATATTCGGATCATCGGCCTCCCTGAGGGAGTAGAAAGAGAATCCGGGATGCAAGCAGTGCTTGATGAAATTATACAGGAAAACTTCCAAAACACTTGGAACACGAATCCACCCCGCATACAGGATGGACAGAGAACTCCCAACAGACATGATCCAAAGAGATCTTCACCCAGACACACGGTGCTCAGGTTCTACTCCAATGAAGACAAAGAAGGAATCCTGAGACAAGTACGAAGTAGAGA